GGATCGACCACCGCGCTAGTAACCCTCCTTCGCGAGGCCGTCATTATCGCGGAGAGGTTTGTTCCCGGAGTTTTGGTTTCCATAGGGTACGACAGTATCAACACCTCGTTATTGATTCTTTACAAACGTTTGGATCCTTGTTGGAACTGTTCGTTTTAGCTACGCCACTAGGGCATCGTCCAAAGACATCCAGGTGAGTCTCTAAGACATCTAGGTCCATCCTCAAACGCAATGGTTGACCGTCGATCCATGTTCGCGAGATCTCCTACAGACCACCCTACCTCAAGGCCCCACAGGACCCTGCGGGGCAGTCGTCGCGATAGGCGTATGCTTCTATTTATGTGATAAGGATGCCACGAGGGCCGACTGGCATGTCACTGCTTCAGGTCTAAGCGAAAGACGCGGAAGACGATCAGCGAGATCATGAAACGCCAACGCGTGTACAGCCAATGGGACACCGGGTTCTGACAGGTCGGATTTTCAACCAATCAGAAATGACCCAGGACTAGTACTGAATTAGCTCCGCCACGTGACGAATCTGCCCGGGAGGGGCGCCTACCAACCCGGTAAGTATATCGACGCAGCTGTGGCAAAATTTCTGCAAAAGAGCCAAGTACCGCAAGCGCATATAAATAAAGTGCAGCCAGAGGGCGATAGTTCCCTATGGAAAACAAAACTCCGGGAACAAACCTCTCCGCGATAATGACGGCCTCGCGAAGGAGGGTTACTAGCGCGGTGGTCGCATCCGCCACCGTCCGCATCTTGGGAAGGGTCGACAAAGATCCACCGATCTGACCCAGCAATAGGATCTTGAGGGTATTCGTGATGGGGTCGTTCTCCAAGAACGCATCAAGCTTGAGTCGGTGGTAAGCCATGGTCACGTCAGCGTCCGACCAGGTCGAATGTCCTGAGGTCGTGGGGCCTACTGACTTGGTGTCACCTGGCGCCTTCATCCTGAACTTGCTCGGTTTGGACATGGCGATCGTATTTTTATGTAGTTTTTCTGTTTTTCGGGGACCATAGTCTATCGGCTTTCACCTTCGGCTAATGGTCTTTTGGGGAATGATAGATGTCATGACCCAAGGTGTCCTCGACGAAAACATAGGGAGGGTATTTCTGTTTCTCTTCAATAATTTAAGCCTTGACCGCGTTGACCTGACCCCTTTTAAGGTCTGGTCGGTCCTTCTATCCTTTGTTATTTCCTTCTGTAGTCACTATCGATCGGTCTTACAGTGACTCTTCGGTCGTTTCCCCAACCTTTGCTTGAACATCTTCATCTTCTTGGGACTCGCGTTGAGTCCCGCGTCTTCCGAAGATCCAAGCACGCGCATCATTTTGGTGGAGAGGGTTTCCAAAACTGCATGACGAGGCCCAAGCCACTCACTGTGCCGGACTGCCGGAGGGGGGTCCCATATGAACCTTCTCTCACCTTGTGTGCCCGTCGGCTGGCCGGTTGCACTCCTCAGAAGACTTGGTAAAGATGTGATGTCGGCCTTGAAAGAGGTCAATCTTGGAGTGCCTCAAGATATGATTTTTCTCGGTAGGCTATTAGGTGGCCACTCGGTCGACTTGGTCGAGGGTGGAGTTATAACAAAATTCTTCAGGGGTGCTTCTCAACCCTGGACGTTTTCTTAATATCTCAGGGGTATCAATTGTCTGACCTTTACATGCTACCGAACCGCTAGGGTAGGGAGACCGCTTTCGATAGCGGGTAGTAGGGGAGCTACCCAAACGATTTCACAGGCCAAAGATATCCTGGGGCTCTATTCACACTTGGGTCTTACCACAGGACTGTCTTCGACAGGGAGCCAAAATATATCCTTTCCCGGAACAGGTGGGTGGACTTATACAAGTTCCTTATAATCACGACGAAGGTGTGCCACGTAGATCGCAAATTAATTAGTGTTTAGTATAGCCTTATCTTTTAGCTCCTTTACTCTAACTTTTCCTTGAAACCCAGTTCCTGATGTCTATTGGAAGGAATCAGATTAACCTTGAGAGAACGAGGTCAATCGACAAAGATTCAGGGTCGACCTCAAGGGACTAGGGTCGATGATATACCTTGAAAGACAGAGGTCTACCTTGAGGTACCGAGGTCTACCGATGATGGACCAGGGTCGACCTTGAGGATCAACGTCCTCCTGAGGGACCGGGGCTACCAATGTGAAACCGCGGTCCACTCCCTTCCACGCCGATAAACCGGTAGCTCAACAGTGAGCTTTGACCGCAAAGTCTTCTCTTTAACGGCCGCTTCCCTTTTGTGGTACCCTTTCTCTTTGGTCCCCATCGTACAACGGTTGCTTTTCTTCTGTAATCTTATTTCTCTCAAGTCTACGGGTCCTCGGGATCCGACAATTTTGAAGAACATCACCACAGTTGGATAATCCGACATCGCGCATATTGACCGACTCAGTCCAATATCCTTGTGCTTCTTCCTAGAAGAGGTGGGTTCATGACTCTCCAGAGCCCCACCAGGAGCATTGTGCGTTTTGTATAAGGTCTTCGACCTCTAATCGATCCATGGCCCATTGCATTTCTTCCTTGCCTAAGATGAGGTCATACCTCGCATATAGGGTCTAAGACCAAACAGCGTTCCATGCTGTTAACGTCCAAGAACTTTACATCTAAGTCCATAGGGACTTCGGGTACCGAACACGCGTACCCGTCGCTAGGCGAACCGTGGCTGTGTCACTAATCACTTCAGCATATTACTTACTACCTTCCACGGTGGTACGGTGGGCATAGGTGCCTGATGCCCCCGTTCAAAATGATACACGGCTTATCAAATCTCTAACCGTTCCTTCGACGACCAACAAGCCTAGCTTGCATTCTCGTTCCGGTTTTGAGAGTTCAGGTTTCTTTTAGGCTGGGCCTTGTTTACTTCTACCTCCTAAAGTTTTAACAGAACTCAATTCTTCCCCAGTAGGGCGCCCCGCGCCTACTATATTCCGCCGTTTCCCCGCGGCAAACCAGAAGGTTTACCCATGGGACGTCGGCCCTTTGAGGCCAAATATGCCTTTCTTGCACGGCCTTTGCCATCAAATAGCCTGTGCTCTTACGATAACATCTGCGCACAATTTGCTGCTCCGTCGCTCGAAGCTCAGCTTTTTCTTCTTCCACTTGACTACAGGCCATGGGAAACGACTTATCAGACGAGTATTTATCAACGCCAGGCCTAGCGGCCTAACAGTTGGCCTCTGCATTCCATGCCACTCCAATCGCTTTCTTAAATGACGACGGGTCTACCCGGAAGACTTCCGTTCTGGCAAAGCCAACTCGTAGGCCCCCCATAACGACCGTCACAGTCATAGAGTGTCTATGATCATGGCGCAGTACCTGTTATGTTTATGACAGGCCATTCGCGGATATCTCTTCGATGTCCATTCTCACACAAAGAAGTAGTCGCAAACCCAGGTGCAGGATTGACAACAAGTGCTACCAAGTGTAGTCGAGCTACTGTAGCAAGCTACATTTGCACTATGTGCAGAGAAAGACTGGCTCCAAAAGCTTATACGTCTTAGGATTTTTAATCCTTCCAACCAGCTTCACAAGCTTATGCGTTTTAATTGCAAACAACCACGTCTTCAAGAGACTAGTATCAAAGATACAATTCCTTATAGAGGAATCAGAACACTCTAGCACTTGTGCGATTCAGAGCAGGTTTGTACCTAATCTATTCAAATGTTTAACTTCTAGCACTAAATATAGAAGCGCCTACTTTATTCGTAGTGCTAGTCATTACGGCTCTGTAGCCTACTAATATGTAAACATGTATAGATACTATACATACCAGAGTAGAGTGACCACGTAGCTCTCTTACCTTAGGTACGGTCACATTGACCTACCACTGTACCCACACCACAATGGTGTTATGTCATAGACATTTTGCTGGTATTGCTGTCTTTACACATACTGCGTCTTTTGTACATGTAAATTGACTTACGCACTCGGGGACCCAACTATAGCTCGATAGAAGCATTCACTTAATTACCGATAGTAAGATATAGTGTCGCAAGCACAGCGCCGGAGGAGACGTTTCGCACTATTCCGCAAGTACCAACTTGCGACAGATGCAAATCATCAGCTGATGCAGTAGATAGAACCCGACTTTTGGTGGTATCCATTCTTGCTGGAGCAAAGCATACGAGTACCGTGTCAGGCTCAATTCCGCTGGTCTGAGCAGTGCATGATAATCAGTTTAATGCAAAGCTCACAACGATAGGACGATGGCACAAAAGTCGTGCTGTGAGAAACGTGTGAATACTTGAACATCAAATGCTCGGTGTTTTGTCGAAACCATAGTTATATATGGAATAGAGCAGTCAGTGGGCAGGAAAAGGAGACTACTACTATTTGTTAGCCACGACTAGATACAAGTAATATATCTTGCAAATAAGCTGCACACGTGATGTATTTGTACTCGGCGGCAGTGCTTATTTTGCAGTCAAGTTGATTCTCTCGACCAGACTGACAGTTACATTTCTCGTGCTGTCTGTTTTGTCAAGCTGTAAACCTTACAATCCAGACTGGATTGCAATCGGTCATGTGCCGAAAAGATGGGCATAATGATAACAACACCTTCTAGCTACAATCTTTATGTAGGAATAAATAAATGTAAGGAAAGCCATTATTTATTTAACGTCTCTCTCTTCTCTCTCTTCCGTACAAATAGGAATACTTAATACCATCAAAAGATTTGTATTTTCAGATTTATAGTATAGGTTTATATCAATAAGATTCCATTGCTGCGATATGTTTTGTGTACGGTCTAATTCCTTACCTGAGTCATCACTTTCTGCTGAGTCTGTCTGACTGTCTATCCTCTCTCTCTTCTCATTATCTTTACATACATACACACACAACCAAATATATCCCATACAAAGCACCAACATTGTGCAAAAAAGACTTAAGAAATTAGACCTGTCCCCTAATTTGTTGTTATCATGATGGTAGATGTTGGCTGTCCCCCAACTAGCAACGGACATATCTCTGCGTTTACAATGGAATTGGACGATGAATTCCTACGAGTGGCGACGCCTCGAGGTCCGTTACTTCTTCTTCACTCACTTACCGACGTCACTACCGCTCGATTACGAACTTATCATCAACAGTGTGATATGCAGCTAGAAATTACATTACGATTCTATCGGGAGCATCAGGAACGTGATCGTTGCTCTCGTGTGCGATATAGTCGCAGTCCATTGACTTTATCAAGATCAGAGCTACCTCGAATGATGATTTCTAGTCAGATTGCAGCAGTAGAAGCTCGGCAATGGAAATTACTTCGAGAGAGCTGTGATATTCGAGTTTATCGACTTAAAAAACGACAGGAACGGACGTCTACAGTCGAAGCTATTGGTACGGTCCATGGGTCTCTTGAAGATGTTATGAATGGCCTGTACGCGGACTCAACGAGGACTGCACGAGTCCTGGAAATGCTCTTGAGTCCCCGTTCATTGGACGCACGAGTGTTGCAAGTAGACAAGAGCAGCACCGAGATTAAACCGTTTCAATTTTCAGGTATTGTTTGGATGGCACTAAAGATGCCTGGACTCGGACTTTGCAAACATAGAGATTTTTTATGTTTTAAAAAGATGGATCTGATAAAGGACGATATGGGAGAAGAAATGGGCTACATGGTGTTGCACTCAATTGATCCTTTAGCTGATGAATTGCCAGTTTCCAACTTTGATGTACATGCACCAACGGGAGCCACGTGGCCTCCGTTAAGTCGAGCGCATCAGACCCATAGTCGTAGCTCCAGCTCGGTTGGAATTAGCTCTGATGACTTTGTGAGAGGCTTCATCTCGTTGGCTATTGTCTTCAAGCGCATAGGCGACGACCGTGTAGCCATGTTCGCCCACGGTCAGTTCAATCCGAGTGGCCGTTTGCCAGCAGTTCTTGGTGACAATTTCATTGCTGAGTGGTTAACGTCCATGGCCAATACTGTGCAGAGCGGACAAGCCAAGAATTTGTCACTTTTGCTTGCAGGTCAGAGGCACTCATCCAGTGACCAAACAAGGTCCAGACAGCGATGCGCGGTGTGCGCTTGCGCCTTATTCTTTTGGAATGCTCCACTGAGCTGTCGAGGCTGTTGGAAGCCATGCTGCCGTACATGCCGCGTGACGAAGCCTATTTTCTGTGCTCACTACCATCCGAACAGAGGCATCGTTGTTGGAGGACCGTGCACGGAGACTTTTTGTCTAGTCTGCGTGTGTGCAGTGATTCCATCTGAGGCAACGATTAATGCCCGCCTGTTGAAGCGGTTGGCGAAAAAGCGCAAGCAGGTGCCTACCTTTTCCCGGCCAACAATGACAGCGTCTTCGATTACGGACGGGTCCATCCCACAACAGCAGCTTCTATCAATCGCTGCGTCGGAGGGACTGCTGGAAGCTTCAGAAACGTCCTCAATCTCGGTGCTATCGTCGCGCGAATCCGAGAAACACCAGCAGCACCGACTCAGTATCAATGCTCGGCCGAAAAAGCGAGCTTATGTGCAACCACCAGAAATTGCTGGTCAGGAAGCAGATCAAGATGAAGCAAGAGACGTTGATCCTACAAGCATGATGCTAGAAGTGTTGGAGCACCATCAGGTCTGCTGCGGTACAGCATCTGTCATTTCGGGGGTATCGTCTTCGAATGCAGGAACGTCGCTGCGGTCTTTTACGTCCGCGGACTTGGGATCAACTTCAACCAACCACTTCAACTCGTTGCAACTTGGACGCTACCCGTCCGGGCATAGCCTGCTGACCCACAATCCAAGTTTCCGCCAGCAAATGCAAGCTCCCTGGGTTGCTGCCTCCGCGACAGTACGACAGGGCCAAGTACCACAAGATCGATGTGGCGTTCAAGCCCAGAGCAGCTTTTGGCTGCCGCGCCGATCTGTACTGGTGAAGAAAGCAGTCGAGTCGTCGCCTCCGCGTGACGAAGAGTACTATCAGCAAATGCTACACAGTTATTTGCTTCACACCAACAGTGCCCGCAGTTTAGCGAGTGCGCTGTCACGGAGCAGCTATGGCGGAATGTCAATGATGGCGCTTCAGCCACCAATATCACAGGAATCAAGCGTGCTGCTGGAGCATTGCAGCGACGCACGAGCAGCACCCAACTGCTCGACACCGAAAAACGGCCCACCGGATATGGTCATCTATCGCCGATTCATGTGAGCCCGATCAACAATATCTCAACATGTGAATAATGCGCTAAATTGGTTGAACGCAATTGAAGAAATGGTATTCTACCCTTAAGTTGAAGCATCACAATGTACATGTACAGCATCAATAAATATGTTTGCAACTTGATGTGTTGCCACTTGTCACGTGGCCACTCTTTATCATCAGCTCGACTCCGCCTACTCCTCGTACCCAAATTTCCATTCTGGTTGAACACTTGGACCTATAACACCGTGCTGCTTCACAGCTTTTGGGCACAGACGCATAAGCTTTCATTTGCCATGAGGAACTAAAATTGATGGTTTGATTGTCTTACCGCTAGGACTCAACGACACTGAAATCTTTCATTGCAATGGACATTTCCATTTAGACCGCCAATGTTCGACACCTAAAGATTTAAGGCTGCTGTCAAGACTCAGCTTCTGGCTATACTAACAGTCATTTTACACTTGATAGTTCACATACGGCGTTTTGAGGAATCTAGTTATCTTCAACGAAACACAAATATATGAAGATGATATCGACATTGACGTCTAATGACCTTACAGAGATGTATTTCCGCCAAAACAATGTAGTGAGATTCGGCATGTCTGATCCAAAAGTCGGGCCTAAAGCTTTTCAAACCTTTTTGCAGGTGATCTGAGAATTCCGTTGCCTTATACTGTCTATATATATATATATATATCATGGATAGATTTGCGTCACTGGTTAACGCTTTTGCTTTAAACCTCCTTTTAAAAAGGCTTGATGCTCTTCAAACGGCGTCGTTTCGGTATTAATCCATGCAAGTTTATATCATATTCTTTTAAATAGTATTAACTATCACGCTACTAGATTTTTAACCAATTAAATTAATATATGAATCACCTAATGATCTCTCCGTTTTAGAACCTTATCCGAAATAAAATCGACTGGCTGGGGTGAGTTGCAACGCCGAGCAGGTCTATATTGTGTCAGTTTGGATTTGGAAACCGCCCGACGGTATGTTTTGTATATTAGTTACTGTCTAAGTTTTACTTCTACTGTTTTAAGATCTACGGAGTTCGATCCTTGATATTTCTCCTCGCTCTCGGACGTTGTTATCAATTTCATTTCGAGTGACGTGCTGCTTGTGCCTGTGCGGTTACGTGAAATTGTTTCATGGTGAAAAGCAGCCGTCGTTTGTAAGAAATCATCTGAGTTTTGCGTGTATCAAGGATCGGATTAGGCATTAATATAAGGTCTTTGTTCTATACTTGTGGCCTTACATTAATGCCTCATCCGTAGGTATATGTATCACTGCATGAATCATTTTACCCACTACACCACGTTGGTTCATTCAATAAAGCTACATTAATCAAAATTGTCAATCGGAATTATAAGAAGGAGATAAAGATTAGTCAATTTATCATGGCGCACAGACCTCTAGCTTATGATTCTTTTGACTGTTTGTCGTTTGAGTAGTTCTATATGATGTCAACGTTGGAGGGTACTTTCAGTATTGTATGGGTCTAATAACCGGACATTTTTGGCTTGACAGAAAATGCAGATTTTCGTCAAGACGCTTACGGGCAAGACCATCACCCTTGATGTGGAGCCATCAGACAGTATTGATAATGTCAAGCAGAAAATTCAAGACAAGGAAGGTGAGTCATTACTGAATGCATATATATATATATCCCATATGAAGCATTGATACTAAATTTTGGTCTTCATCTTACAGGAATTCCTCCTGACCAGCAACGGTTAATCTTTGCTGGTAAGCAGCTAGAGGATGGCCGTACGTTGTCGGACTACAATATTCAAAAGGAGTCAACTTTGCACTTGGTGCTGCGTCTGCGTGGTGGTGGTAAGAAGCGCAAGAAAAAAACGTACACGAAGCCAAAGAAGATTAAACACAAGCACCGTAAGGTGAAGCTTGCTGTCCTGAAGTACTACAAGGTGGATGACAATGGAAAGATTCAGCGTCTGAAGAAGGAGTGCCCGGCTCCTCAGTGCGGTGCTGGTGTTTTCATGGCTACTCACTTTGATCGTCACTACTGCGGCAAGTGCCACTTGACTTACCAGTTTCAAGGCGAGGATAGCGCTTAGGCGTCTTGTCTTGATGGCATCAGCCCCTACAGGTGTTGCTACCGTTGATCTGACCTTTGTTGCAAGCTTTGTAACATGAGATAGCTTGATGTCAATGCAATGCTTTAGTTTCCATCCATTATCATTATTCGACTTACACTGCAGGTCTTATAGGCTTTGTGGTGACGGTGTTGTTTGTCATGACCTGATAGATACAGTTTTTGGCTTTTCTTCTTCATGAAACGTCTCAGTCTGCTGCTAAGAATGACCAACTAACAATCTTAGCAGAGGGTTCTTAACGCCTCAGTACTATTTCATGCCGCATTTTGCTTGTCTTATTCACTTCCATTGCCGTCTCCGTCTCAAGTGCGATGGAACAAAAATGGCGCTGACTGTTGTTGATACCATTGGGCACTAAAGTCGATTTGAAAGTAGAGCGTGCTATTGTCGGGCTGAAGTGGTCGTTTAATGCATGGAAGATTATAATCCTAGCTTTCGGCCTACATATATAGCAGGCATTGTCTGTATTTTGCAGCAACAATGGCTAACAATAACGAGCGGCAATCGCGTTACAAATCTATCTGTTGTGGAAGGTTTACAGGAAGAGGCGAGAATGCAAACAGTGTTCATGCTCGCGCAAATTAAAAGCACATCAATTGACTCGTCGTTTAGTCATCAATAAGGTAAGATTGTTAGCAACTAGTATCTTCATCCTGTAACCTCTTTTCAGTTCGCTAGCTGAAGAATGGATAGGCACCAAGATAAACAACACATGCTTGCAATTTAGTTGGCCTTGGCCTTGAGTTCTGAGAACGCTTGGGACGGGTCGTCACCGTTCGGGTCTTGAAACTTGGCTCCCTTTTCCTTGGATTCCTTGATCTTCCCCCAAATGTCAGTCGCACGCTTGCGGTCCGAGACAAGACCAAGCAGTGCCATCAAGTCGATCGCGAGCTTGGTGGGATTGAATTGCGATGTCACTCCATATTCACTTGTGGCGTAGTCATATGGAAACTTGTGGTGCCAGTTGTGCCAGCCTTCACCGATGGACCAGATCGAGACAAACCAATTTTCACACGGTGGCGTGTCCTCATAAGGATGGTATCCAAAAAAATGAGCAGCACTGTTGACAAGCCACGTTGCGTGCAGCACCAACACGTATCGGAGGAAACCAAGGACAAAGAGTGCGTTCTTCCAGTCTTCTCCAACGACCTGTACACCAAGGATCGTAGGGAAAACAAAACACATGAAAAGGTTTCCCCATGGATTGAGCTTTTCTTGCATGACAACGGTCCAGTCAGCCCAGAGGTCGTCGTAATTGAGTTTCGTGCCAGCTTCATGCACACGTCGATCCTTCTTGACCAACAACCAACCCATGTGTGCAAAGAAAAAGCCACGACCAGAGTTATGCGGGTCAGCGACTGTATCCGAGTATTTGTGGTGTACACGATGATCACGGCTCCAATGAAAGATCGTGCCTTGATTAGCCATGCCATTACATAGCATGAGAAAGAATCGTACAATGCCATGTGCTTTATAGCTACGATGTGCCCATAGACGATGTGCACCCATGGTAATACCCAGACCCGTAAAGTAGTAAATGATGAAAAAGAGTAGAAATGTTTCCCATTTACAAAAGAAAAAACGACGTAGACCTTCCAATGCACCAAGATGAACGAGTGACAAGTAGTAAACCATGAACCAATTTGCTTCCTTTTTAAATTGCGATAACGACATCATGATTAGCAATCAAACAAGCAACTAATGAATCAATCAACCTTTGTTTTACTCTCTCGATGCAATTGAATGAGATGATGTACGTAGTGCGTTGTTGACTGAAAATTATACAATGATCTTCTAGTATCAAGTTGAGAATATCTGATGGCCACTTACTATAATCGACTTGTACGAAACGAGCTTGTCATAAAACCGTCTTTTTTCTGTCGATTGGCTGACGTACTTTGACAAAGCACGGTTGATGTCATCGAAATCTTCGGGAGTTCATCTTACACTTTGTATGTCGTGAAGTGGATAGGGTTCAGAGCAAAGTTGTGACGCTTTGATGTAAGAGAATGATGTCAGGAAATCAATAGTGAAAACAAGTTAATTTGGGAAGCAAGGATCACAGGTTTTTAAACAGACGACTTTGTGCGTCAGAAGATAATGTTGTTCGATGGTACGGCAGTATTTTCTCTTAGCACTTTTTTGATGATATGGTTGGTGGTTATTATGTACGTGATTCTACGGAATTTCCATCGAATTGAAACGTATTTGATTGGTAGAAAAAGTGAGCAGCTACGACGTTCTATTTTCGTCGCATGTCATCATCACATAAACGTCATCTGCGTCTATTAAGATTATAATAAATACATTGTGTTTTCGTCCTCTGACGCCGTCACTCGCACACGTATCAATCGTAACATTGCCATTTATGGGTAAATGTTAAAAGATCTAAAATCATCGTGGTATGTGATAACTGTCACTTGCATGCGTTTGCACAAACCCTTTATAATATGGTCGAGCAGAGTGCAGGATATATAAAAAAGCTGTATGTAGACTGTAATGAGCACTTTGTGCGCTCTTTTTTAGTGTCGACAATCAATAATTCCAGCGGAATTATAACACCTATTAAGGAGAAAGGATGTGAGCATGTCGGCAGTTAGACTCGCTATGGGCAGCCGCGGCCGTACAATATATTGGCCAGAATTTGCTTACGATTGAAGCAAATGGAAAAGAATCGGACGGTTAGTGTTATTTATTTTAAATCCCAACTACTCGACTTGGTCCAAACCGAACTAATATGTGGATCCAATGTCTCCCACGCGAATGTTCATAAACTTTACGGTAGCATCTGGGTGCTGCGCTTCGACCTCCACAGGACGACCACCTGACGTTGGACACGAGCCGCGCTTGACGCCAGGTTTAGTCGAGTCTGCGCCTGCGGGATAGCTGCTGTCAAGCCAGAGGCAGTAAGCGGCATGGTCGGACCATAAACTCATGGCAAGTGTCATACCGTTTGCCATTTGTTTTCCCATACGCACAAGTCCACCCTTTGCGGCGTGATCGTTTTGGTCACCAAAGAGCTTCTTGGACGTATTACACATGGAATCAGTGATGGAATTGACATTGTCTAAACCGGGCCACATACTGCTCGGGGTCTCGACAACACGATCGTCCTGCTTGAATAAGCGTCGGATCTCTACAAGATCCCCAGTAGCGGTGTTATCGCTGGTAAAGAATTGGGTGACAATCGTGAATTTGCGGTTGGTGTCAATAATGAATTGCGAGCCAGGACCATAGAACGTCTGGTTACCCATTCGGAACGAATTAAAGTCACAGCCATCCTTGTCACACACGCCCTTGTAGCGGTTCCCGTCGCCACTGCCACACTCTTCTGGACTTGTACAACGTGTCTGTCCCTCCGACGTACACGGGTGCGAAGTAAAAGCACTGCTCATTCTATTCGCCTCCCAGATGTCAAGCTCAGCGCAGCAGGCACCATACTTACCACCACCTGAGTTCTCGCTCTTGGCACCCCAGTCGAGCGTATTGGCCTCGCCATTGATGAACTTGATGTCATGTGGGCACTGCGCGTCACAGTAACCTGTACCGTAGTTGGCACCCGCCTTGTTGGCTGGGAAGCGACCAGTTCCTCCGTCCGCGTCCATCTGCACAAAGTAAAGCGCACCATTGAGTCCACAAGGCAGCTTGGAGACATCGACATCAAGTGTAAACTCTTGATTCAGTAGCTTGAACTGCTTATACTTGGAGCCTTCAGCATCCAAAAGATAAACACGGGAGCCCACATTTGTGCCGTACTGGGTCTGTGTGACCAGCTTGAGCTGCAACTCATCATTCGATGTGGTGATACCGTAGGTACCTTGGTAATCGGCACCTTCAAGAGCGCAATTTTGGGCACATGTTTCTGGAGTGGAGCATAGCGTGGAATCCCATTGATTGCCAGAGTAGCAGTTTTTATAGTCACCAACTTGATGCAGCCAGCGCCAATTGGCATCCAGGACGACTGACGTGGTTTCAGTTACACAGCCTTCTGTCGTTGAGCATTGCTTCGACGCGAGAGAAGGATGCACTTCTTTAGTGCTGGTTCCTGCTTGCTGAGCTGAAATTTGAAAAGCAGATAGTGCCAAAGCAGCAGTAACAAGTGGTGTGGAGAGGGTCATTACTGTAACTTGATGGACTTTTGAAATGAAGGAGATACGAGCTGACGCTTGCCAATTGAATAATGAACACGAAGAAATGACAAGGTTTGACTGCCTCCTTGTCATCTTGTGAACCAGCCGAATGTCGACACATGGTGACTCAGATCGCGTAAAACGTAGGCCATTCTCCTGACGCACGTAAGACCTGCGCTTATTGAGCACGAATTGATTTCATGGATGCAAAAAGGCCGTGGTCTATGGAAAACGAAGAAAAACTTGGTGAATTAAACTAGTGTGCTGGACATGTTTTACATCTTGAGTTTTCACATGATTTCAGACTGGTGGTCGATATGTGTGGATGGCACGCATAGAAAAAGATGATTACAATCTTACTGACGAACGTTCGTGCGACTACCACACTAGAAGTCTGAGAACGCCATGGAGATAGTGTTACCTGAAATATACACGACCATTGTTCTCAGATCGGCATCATGATATTGCGATGATTCTCACACGTCACACACTTGTTACTTTGTTTTACGTGGTCCACAAATACAGCATCCGTCTCTTACTGCTTGTATGTGTTACTAAGGTCAAGATAAAAACGAATGGTGTCTATCAGAATGATGTACATTGTTCATTTTTCTTGTTACTTTTAGAAAGTTCTGAGTTTTGATGTTTGTAGTTTTAAAAGTAAGCACCGCACAGAAGTTCACGAGGTTTTATTCATCCAAGCTGTTCTTTTTTTTGGTGCGACAGTTAACTCAGCTTGCCTGCTTTCACGCTGTGCCTTACTCTTCCATGGCCATTGTGCAACAATTGCAAGCTTACATACATTTAACAAGTAAACGACTTTTCTTATGCATATCTGCACATGAAAAAATTGGCACGTCTTTTGCTCAAATATAGTACGCTATGGCTATGCGTTTTTGCTTCATTAACGTTGTCATAGGTAGCTGATACCAACCATATTATTAAGAAAGTGGAGGTTGAGAAAGCAAACGTAGACATTGTATTGCATACTCACTGTCTCTTCCAATAGTAGGATACTAGAAAATTTTGAGCGTGAACCATCTGACAGGTCTAGCTAGTTAGCTGCCACAGCGTTACCGCGCGTCTGCTCAAGTGGTGTAGTCTTCAAGCTGCACAAACAGCTGTCTCATTCGAGAGACATCCTCCTCATCTTCGGGAGTCTTCTTAGCAGGCACAGCAACGGGTTTCGGCTCGTGCTCTTCCGATTCCTTCTTATGAAGTGCCTCAAGCTTCTTCTTGCGGTTCGTTTCTAGATCCACAAGTGTCACTACACGCTCCCATGGGTTCTCATTTTGCAAATCTGCCACCATCTTTTCCATGGCAGCCTGCTCAAACACACGGTTCGACTGCATCTTGGACTCCTTAATGCGCTGGCGTTCAGCCAAAAACTGCGCCATGTCTTCTTCGGCTTTGGCCTTACACTCTTCTGCCACCTTTTCCTGCTCCTGAGCCTTCAGTGCAATTTGCTTCTCGTACTCACGCATAAACTTCCTGTCAACATAAAGCACAAGATAATTTTTAATAAACTCTATACGTACGTGTCCATCATTCTCATCTTTCTGCTAACACACGTGAGCTCATTTTCATCTTCCACGAGCGGAATTGAAGCAGGGGTCTCCATTTCTGTCTGAAACCCTGCATGCATTCCGATAGGCTGCTGAGACCCAAAATCCATGGGCTGCTGAGATCCAAAATCCATGGACTGTCGAGGTTCAAAATCCGTGGGCCGATAACTCTCGTTCGTGTGTTGATAGTCTTCCCCATAGGCATCATTCGTCAATGCATCTTCCGTGGGCTCTACTTCATAAAAGCTGTTCAGACAATCTTGGATTTAGTCATCTAGAACGTTAGATTTAACTTGTATTTTCATCCAATCGTTTTCAATACCAACGTACTCTCCACTAATTTCTGCAGGTGGTGCAAAAGCCATAATCTCCTGAGGTACATTGTTTTTTACAGCATTGTTATCTCCAAATGGGTCCATGGTTGTCTCAGTGTTCCAACGTTTTAATTCTTACGTCTCGACTCAAGTCTTTCGTCTTTTTACTTCCCCCTTCTTAAGACGGCAATTCAGTCATTTGAATGTGTACCACACCAACCTCATTGCAGCTCGATTTTATAGGTCGTTTACCGCAAACGTGTTATTTTCGGATACGTCGTAGAATCACTGTAGCTTGCATTGATATAGTGTGGTTTACATATGCCAGAATCGACTGGTGGCGAGCGTTTGACTGAATAAAGAGACCTTGATACACTGTCACAGTATTAATCCCAAGCCAATCTGACGTCAAAATGGTCAAGCAGAAAAACCACACGGCCCGTAACAACACAGTAAAGGCTCACCGGAACGGTATTAAGAAGCCAAAGAATCACCGTTTCCATTCTACACGTGGTGTGCGTATTTTTATATCCTTTATCATGCATAAAGGCTCTTGAATCCCAATTTGTTTTCTAATTGCTTTGAGTTATTGTCATTGCTGTAGCTGGACCCTAAATTCTTGCGCAATCAGCACTGGGCCAAGAAGTTTGACAAGAAACACCGCAACCGTAAGAACAAGGACAAGGTTGGTGCCATGTACAATTGTTGTTGCTAGAAACGAGCTATATTTTTGTTAATTGTAATTGTCGTGATTTGTAAATGTGGTATCAGGAGGAATAAAGTAGCCGCTTTGGACACTAGTTGACAAACAACGAGTTTATCTTGGCTATAGGCTGTCGTATATATAGTGATGATCTAGATACAAGAACAGCGTGTTAGGATCGGTCGTGGTTGATTGTAATGCAATACTGACGGACAAGAGACTTGATCGCTGTGTCCAGAGATGTCGTATGTTTGCTTGGAAAACCATGACTGCAAGAGTTGAGGCGGATGGCTGTTTTCTCTTTCTTTTGTTTGAATCGAATTAAATGTACGGACTTGGCTCTAGGTCTTTTGTTTATGATGACAGGTGATGGAACGATTTTTTATGGTTGTTGAAACTAAAGAAAGTTGCAACTAGAATGGTACGAAGAGGTCGAGAGTGGATTAGATTGGTGTGAAGAGAACGGAGATGACGATCTTGACTTCGTATCTACATTTTCTGGATTACAGCATGAGGACGAAGATTAACAGACAGATCCGTTCTCTAGACATTCCTGATGGGCTGTATATGCATGTTTTATGGTGCGCGAGGTATTGCGTGATGAAAAATGATGCGTACATAATTCTTATCTACATTTTCTGAAGTAGCGATAAGCTGCTTTGTGAAGACCCAACTAGTCCTGATTCTTCATCAATGCTCACGTATCGATTGTTAACAGCGTAGAACTATTAATATAAATGTTCAATGAAAATGCCATTCAACAATGTCAAACCAATTCCATCATCTATTCCTCCTCTGTCGACTTGTCATGCACTACCGTCGTGCTCTTCTCGTCTGTGTCTTCTTTCTCGACCGCCAGATCGTCAATTTTCTCAGGATCATCATTCGTTGCTTTCGTGTACGCCGAGGCGTCGGTTTTTAATTCATCGTCCTTCGCTAGTAACTTACCGTCCTTGTCTCCCCTCTTGGCCGTCTGCTGTCCAGGAACAGGAGGGTCGATGATTGAGCGCACGTTGTACTTCTTAAATCGATGAAAATCCGTCAGTATGCTAAAACCGCACGTGTTCCGAAAGACCTCAACCATCAAAACACAGCGGGGTGCCGTTAGATTCACCTTGGTCTTGTCATCTCCTACTAGTTGCACAAGTGTATCAATGACGTCCATGCTGTTCAGATTAGTGCAATTACGACGTTTAAACTCGACTGCAAACGTGAAAGGATCGTCAGTGCCCGCAGCCTTCTGTTCTTCCTTAAAAGTCTTCAAGTGCGTTTCAATCATCGGGGCAGCGAGTTCCTTAATAGCTTCCACGCTCGAGTAGCCAATTTTCTCCAATGGGATCATTCTCATGATAAATCTCGATGCAAATTCCTTAGTATTCTCAACTTGTTCAAAAATCTTGGCCAATAGAGCTGTGGGGGACAAATGATCGTCTTTAAACTGGATTAGCACAGCGCCTTTGACTCCAGTATCTAGCGGTGTAAACCTGCCCGTCTGGCGACTCTTTGCCTGCGTCTTCAATGCTTCAACCTCCTCTTGAAGCTTCTTTTGCACTGAATTCCCTTCTTTCTCTGTTGTATTTTCCTCCTTCTCTTTAGCTGACGGGAAAAAGCGATCGGCCGCTTCGTTTAAAATATTGAGCGCATCACTCACGCTCTGCCGTTCATGCATCTTATCACATGTCACTAATACTGCACCATAACCTTTTGCATTAGCAGCAGCAGCTAGTGATCCGTTGTGACGCTTCGTATTGCCATCACGACTGCCCATCCATTGTTTCTTTCGCTTCTCACCAGCCATTTCTACTAAAGATTGCAAATGATGATGACACACGTCACAGCTTCGAAAGAGTTTTAACGAATCAGAAGACGAACAAGCCATTACGAGATGAGTTTGCACCAATCATACAAGTAAGAGCTATTGGTTGTCAATGTTCAGGAAGCATTAAGAGCTCTATGCAACATGGCAACGACTGCATTAACAGACCACGTGCTCCTACTGAGCTCAAGTCAAGAGAATGAATTAATAGTAGTTGATGCATCCACTGGTAGTCAATTGTACTGCTTTAAAAATTGCCGAGCAACACTAAATGGTGTTCATGTAATACCACGTACTGACCATTTACTCGCTGTGCAAGAGGGTAGATTAACGATAAACCTCTGGAATTGGGGCAAGGATGTGCCCGCATGGAAATGCCACGTAACGGAAAAGATGGGACCAGTGACGTCTTCAAGTTGTGGCAATTTTCTCTTTGGAGGTGCCATGTCGGGCAAAGTTTATGTATGGGACGTCAAGACAGGAGAATTGGTGACGGTGTTTGATGCACATTACAAGCGCGTGTCAGCCTTGGTACTAACGTCAGATGATTCACACTTGATTACAGCTGGTGAAGATGCTCTGGTGCATGTATGGAGACTAGTAGATTTGTTGGATGAACCAAATACTGCTTCAAGCTTTCAACAAGGTGTGACACCTATTGTGAGCTTTACAGACCACGTACTGCCTGTTACTTCGCTACATGTTGGATTGGGTGGCGTGAATGCCCGCATTTATACATCTTCACTGGACCGCACCTGTAAGATCTGGTCGATCACTTCGTCCCAGTGTCTATACAGCGTGTCTTGCCCATCCTACGTCAATGCTTGCGTTGCAGACCCTATGGAGCATCGGCTATTCATGGGCTGCGGCAATGGCCGAATCTACGCATTGGACTTGAACGCGGCTGCAGCTTCTGTCACTGCTGCGTCTGCACGCGTTGCCAGTGCTTCGACAGGTCTGTCGTCTGGTATCGGCAACAACATTTTGCCGTGGAGCCCTGATGCTCTATTGCCCCATTCATTTGATGGTCATGAAAGCAGTGTCATCACGTTGCGAGTTCATGCCAGTGGGGCATTCCTCGTGTCTGGAGACGAGAGTGGTGTTGTGCATGTATGGGATAGTCTAAGTCGGCAGTCATTACGCACCATCAAGCTCTTCAAAGGTAAGATAACGGCTTTGGTACTACTTCCTCGACCGCGACACCTTTTCCGTCAAGCAAAGACACCATTTACTTTGGAAAATGAAGACTTAGACGACCTGTTAGCTACTCCGCTCCCTATTGCTCCACTCAAAAAGTATATGAGCGCCACTAACGACAACTAGTAGCTTCAATGAGTTCTTCGGCTGTGCATTCGAGTTCAAGTACGTGATGCAAGATGAATAAAATAGACATTACCAGTTACCTCGACACGCCATTAGCTTTTGCTACATTGCAATGTATTTTTATCCCTGGGACGTTGCGAGAAAGAATTGCAGCGTTTACTAACAAGGGAGGTAACAGTTCAAGTACGCTGCCGAGTGACAAGACAAGGATGATGATGGAAGATGGCGAGCTACGAGACGCAGAGCTTACGGGTGAATTTAACGAGATGTCGACACCAAAGCTCGAGGATCGGATGGACAAGGCTTTACAAGATCAGGTTTGTCAAAGCGCATGCGAGCATGTATTTGGTCGTTGTAGAACTCTGAATGAAGTTGTTGCGTCTGTTGTGATGTCAGGATCAACAATTGGATGCAATCTATACAGGTGTCACACGACTTCATCTTGTAGCTGACGCGACGAATGAAGAAGTCCTGTCTCAAAATGCGATGCTAGATCAAGTAGTTGTGCAAGTGAACGATACTGAAGCCGCCGTGCAACAACAGACAAAAGCAGCACGCAAAGTTGCCCGTGCACATCGTGAACTTGGCTGCTACTACGTAATCATCATGCTGCTGCTCATAGCACTGCTCATTATAATTTTTATATGAACAATGTTAGCACGAAGAACTTACATCTAATGAAAAGGACGAGATTAAGGTGCATCCATTTGGTTGCGAATGCTTAACACTAAGTTGTTTGATCCGTAGCTGTTTTTCCTTGATGCTACGTTAGCTACGTGGACTCAACAGAGCATTGTGGTGAAAAAAGCAGCAGGAAGACGCTTTTCAGCACAGTGAAAGAGCTCCTATTAGATACGCTATCTCTGTTGCAGTCCAAACAGCTCCAGCATCAAGCAGAAAGCTGCGATTCAACCAAAACGAAAGAAGCAGACGCAAATCGCTTAGTAGCGGTAGGTCGCCGGCTTGAACGGACCCGTGGGCTTGACACCAATGTATTCGGCTTGTTCGTCCGACAGAACGGTAAGCTGAGCGCCCAGGTTGCCCAAGTGCAGCCGAGCAACCTTTTCGTCCAGCTCCTTGGGTAGTACATACACCTTACCAGTAGCGTACTTGCCAGTGTCACGCTCCTTCCACAACTCAATTTGAGCCAGTGTTTGATTCGTGAATGAGTTGGACATGACAAAGGATGGGTGGCCGGTCGCACAGCCTAGATTGAGCAGACGGCCCTCAGCCAGGATGATAACAGCATGACCGTCCTCAAAAATAAATCGGTCCACCTGTGGCTTAATGTTCTGACGCTTGGCGATCTGAGTCACACCAGCCATGTCAATCTCATTGTCAAAGTGACCAATGTTGCCAACAATAGCATTGTTCTTCATCTTGAGCATATCCTTCGCCATGATAATGTCCTTGTTGCCTGTCGTAGTGATAAAGATGTCTGCCTCTGATACGACCGACTCAAGACGCACGACCTGGAAACCCTCCATACATGCTTGCAAAGCACAAATAGGGTCGACCTCAGTCACGTAGACAATTGAGCCAGCAGCCTTCATAGCCTGGGCACTTCCCTTACCCACATCACCAAATCCACAAATCACAACACGTTTTCCAGCAAGCATAACATCCGTTGCACGCATAATACCATCAGGTAGTGAGTGACGACAGCCATACAAATTATCAAATTTGGATTTCGTGACTGAATCATTTACATTAATAGCTGGAAACAGCAAGGTTCCATTCTTTTCCATCTGATACAGACGATGCACACCCGTAGTTGTTTCTTCAGAAACACCTTTGCAACGTTGAGCAATTTGAGTCCATTTCTTAGGGTTTGTCTTTAGAGTACGTGCAATGATATTTAACACACACTTCATCTCTGCATTGTCGGTTGAATTTGGATCAGGTACAGTTCCATTGTCAGCAAAAACCTTCTCGGCTTTATACCCTTCATGAATAAGTAGTGTCATATCACCACCATCATCTACAATAAGATCTGGTCCATCACCTTTTCCATCATCGGAAGGCCATGTGATCGCATTCAATGTACATTCCCAGTATTCTTCCAATGTCTCGCCTTTCCAAGCAAACACAGCAGCTGATCCATCACGAGCAATTGCAGCAGCAGCATGATCTTGCGTTGAAAAGATATTGCACGAGCACCATCGGATATCACCACCAAGAGCTTGAAGAGTCTCAATGAGCACAGCTGTTTGGATTGTCATATGCAAGGAACCAGCAACACGAGCTCCTTTAAGCGATTGTTGTGGACCAAATTCAGCACGACTTTGCATTAGACCAGGCATTTCAATTTGAGCAATTTCAATCTCTTTACGACCAAAGTCAGCAAGTGAAATGTCTGCGACACGATAATCACCAAGCGAAGTCATTCTACTTAGGTACAAGAGAGGAGAGAGGGAGAGAGAAGAAAAACAAAAAGATACTTGAGCTTTACAAGGTAGAATCTAAAGTGAGAGATTGAGAGAGAGCTATTATGTATGACAAGAAGGAGAGAGCTCTAGACCACCCATTATATAGATTCTATAGCAAGTATCACAGTTATCAAGTATGCGGTACAATATGTTTTGTAAAAGCTAAATGTTATCTTTTCATTTTTGGATATTTTATATTTTTATCGATTCAAATAAAAGTATCCGAAATAAAAAAAAAGCCCTTTTTTATGAAAATTAGAGTAATGTATCCAGTATACACCACTAACCTGTTAGAATCGATACATTTGTTTTTTCTTTACACTCGAACAAACAGGATATGCAAACATGGAGTAAACTCCTGCAGACATTTCCCGCGCAATTCCGATTGCAGCACGCAATTCCTTCCTTCGACAGCTATGGCGAACGACCTATTAATGCGTTCTGAGAAGCTTTATCCTGACCAAACTATGTCTAAACGCAAGCGCAGTAGTAATTTACATGATACAGGTTGTACAAAGAAAAAAATAAAGAGCTCGACAATGTCGTCGTGGCTTTCACCTCTTCCGAAAGACCGAATGGTCAAGTCAATAATCACCCCTATGAAACCACCTGTTAAAAAAATGATGTCGATGAGTAAACTCCATCCTTTTACGAAGCAGTCATATATTGATGTTGGGCAACGTGATTTTGGTAAACACGTGACCTGTTCTACGTGTCATTTATTGTATACTGCTGGAGAAGAGGAGGATGAGAAGGAGCATGAAAAATTTTGCAGACGGATAAAGCGTGGTGTCACGATTTCAAAATGGAAGACAGAACGAACGCTTAAGACGTTTCTAGACACCCGAGATCGGATCTTGGAAATCCGAGGAGATGATCCTAGTTTTCATGTCAAGAAGCTGCTGGAAATCAAGGCAGTTCTCGATGATGCACTAGGGTTTGTCTTGGAAGAGGAGTTCTTGCAACGTAGTCACTTCATTTATGTCCAAGATCATCGGGTAGTTGGATGTGTCAATGTCGAACGTATTACGGAAGCTTTCACGTTGGACAAGAGTGCGTCAAACATGGTGAAGATGAACGATAAGAGCTCTGTAACAGAAAGAGGTGCTCTCACTGCGTCTACCACTTCACAATCGGCAGTTGTGGGTATTTGTCAAATCTGGGTCCACCCTTCGTTCCGTAGGAGAAGCATTGCGACCCGAATGGTCAATATTGTCCGGGAGAAGTCAATCTATGGTATGCGAATAGCCAAGCATCGTGTTGCCTTTGCACAACCAACACGAAATGGCCTGCAGTTTGCACAAAAGTACATGGAACCATGCGAGGTGCTCATTTATTAAGTAGCTTGACTTATTCTGTGTAAAAGATGAGGAGTGCATCAATGGTGTAAGCTCCAGTATATGAGGGAGTGCAGCTGAGTTTTCTTTGCGTTTCAATGTCCAATATGTTGAATTAAGCTTTAGCGAGAACATTACGCAATGGAGAGTAGCGAGAGACATTCATCGAGGTCAAGCAACGTTCATCAATAGCTGACTATGTATGTAATGATAAGGACTTCCACAAAAATTTGTGTCAACGACAACTATATTTGCACCTCTTGAACATCCTGACTACTGCTGTTAGTGTTAGTTGGCGCTACAACAATGCTTCTAGCTATACCTCGTGCATTTTTGCATCGAATGTTGCACTATGGGTGACGAATATGTGCAGGAATCTTTACTTTATTAACAACCTTCAACTTTGTTTATGTTCTTAAGTGGGCCCTCATGATCCACAGCTGGTACTTTTCAATCTTGCTGACGAATATGGCTGCCTTTACCTTCACGAATCGCTGAGCTGAGCTGTAGATTGCACTTATATGCGACCCCCAATAGGCGAATATTGGCGACGCACATGATGCTGACGCCAGCGCATGACGCCAAAGACCACAGCGCCAACTGCAGCAAGGGCAAGGGCAACGACACCAAGGATGGTTGCAATACCCCACTTCGCCACAGACTCGAGTAAATGGCTTGGCTTCAGCTTCTTGGGCGTCAAAGTATGCAGAAGCGAAGGAGCAGAGCTGGTCACGTTTAGTAGATGTGCAGCACCGCCGAAATCACACGTTGCACCCTTTTCACGGTTAAGATGCCAATATTGGTCAAACGCCCAGTCACATTGCTCTTCCAAGGTGGCGAAGCGCTTTTTAATGTCCGAGCAATCAATGTCAGGGAAATTGCACGCAAATGCAAGACCGTCTTTCAGCTCAAATTCTTGAACACCGCGCTTTGCACGACAAACAAAATCACCCTTGTCTTCTTTTTTGCACGCGAGCTGAACAAATCCATCCTCGTGGTAGTTGGACACGTTTTTGGGGAACGCGCCCTGATAAATCAAGTCCAAGAAACTCCACTTCGTAGCAAATTCCGTTTTGAAGTTCCAAAAGTACCAACCGTGACCAACAGCAAAACCATTTAGCTTCTTCATAGTTAATGCTCTGGTCAACGCCGCGTCATCCTTTTGGCCAAAAGCGCTCTGGCTAGTAACAGGGCATTTCCCAAACGACGGTCCAGACACACCTGTGCCATACGGACCTTGAATCGGCTTGGTCTTGTCCAAAGGAGTGCCTGGAAACCCTTCGCCAAGATACGTACTGTTTACTGGACAGTCTATCATATGGCACTGAACCTTCGGAAAGCCTGGCAAGTTATCATTGAAGCCATTGAGCCACATTGCGCAGTTGTCCGTGCCGACAGACCACTCGCCTACAATAACAGGCATCATAGCATTTTCCATCTCTGTGATAACATACTTCTGCTGGCATGCGTTCGAGAAAAAGTCCGCAACGGTTCCAGGCGGGCTCCAAGCTTGATAAATGTGCGTGTCGAGAGCAATATCTGGGCAACCTCTCAGGAAATCAGCCCAAAATGTCAAACCAAAACGGAACGAGTCATGAAGGACAAATCTCCACGAAGGTGCAAGAACCTTTACACGCTTGTATGACTTCCAATAGTAATCTTTAAGCACTTTAATAGGTGTAAGCTCCCATGGTTCATTCACTGGTTCAAGTCCCATAACAGCTTTGTGGCCCTTGTACCGATTAATAATCGCTTCCACGGCCACAATTGAGTGATTGAGGTTGGCGTAATTGATACTTGAGTAATTGTGATGCTCTACGTCAAAAGTGCCAGCCCATTCTGCTTGACGGATTGGCCAATGCTCAAATGTGGTAGTTCCCACTGGTTGTGTACTAGCAATGGATGTCCATTTCACAGACATAGACCTGCCACTGTTATCAAAGCCGTTTTGGGACCCAATGAGACCGTGCATATCCAGTAGAATGTCCAGTCCGTACTTGAGTGCAAGATCAGCTACACGATCAAGCGCGTCCACAGCACCAGTTGTGCAGCCAGAGAAAGGCTCATAAGGATTAAACATCCAGTCACCAACCGGAATACGAAGTGAGTTTATACCTGCTGCAGCAAGTGCAGCAATATCTTTTTCCGTGACCCAATTGTCATAGTGAATACGGAGCTGCCGATTAGCTTCTTCTTTACCAAGTGCTGTACAGAAAGTATACATGTCCATGGCTGTTTTCTCAGGAGCTTTGTCTCCAAATCTTTGCTGAGTATTTAGAAATTGGTAAAACAGTGTCGGTGTGATCCAGGGCTCTAGGACGAGCCAGCCGCCAAGATTCACACCACGAACTTGCTTGTTGAATGGTGTAGCATGGGTATCAAAGGAACACGTCTGGTCCGTATCGTTGGGTTTAAAGTTCTTGAATACACCACTGTCCTGGGCAAACATCGAGTCTTCGCCGTGATTCCAGTACCATTTATAGTCTGGCAAGTCAGTCGTATCCTTTGGACCGGAATCAGACCTTAGCGCTGGAGCTTTAGGACTATTCGCAGGTGCAGGCGCATTATGAGCGGGCGTTACAGGCGTAACATCGTTTGGTTGCGACACAGGCTTCTCATGAGAGTTCTTTTCGCCCTCGGGTGATACCTCCATAGAGATAACGTGACTAGAGACGACGTTCGACTGTAACGCAGCCATGGCGAGCAATGCACCCAGTGCTCCAGTCATTCGAAGCCGCGGCCAGACCAACATTCTGTCTCTGACTTTTTTTGGTGTAAAGTCTCTTCCGCACTACGAAGCAAATATGAAAATGAAAAGTGAAATCTTTTTGTGGGCAAGATATGACAATTTGAAATTACAGTTTAGCTTGTGTTTAGACTTGAAATTTAGTACCAATATAAGATAAAGATTGAAAAACTACAAACATGACCAAGCTTTTGCGATCTTTGGCATTGAAGTTGTTTGATGGCTGCCAGACAATAATATATACGGACCTTGTGGTATGGATAAAAGAAATTGATCGGATCACGCAAGGAGATGGATCAGCTATGAACAGGATAGTCTTAAGTAAAAATCATATTATCTAGATGTCGATACTAATTATGTGTATTATATAGGATTCGACGGATGATACGCCAGATAATTTCAAAAGCTTCAGTTGCTACAGATGTTGCTTGGAAATTTGAATTTGTTTGTTCATGAGACAGACAGATGACAGATGATTCAAGTGTAGCCTGACCAACCACATTGGGACCTCGGATGGTATTGCAAAGGTTTCTGTAATGAGGTAGAGAATAAAGAGTATGCGAAGGATGTAAGCACGCAATGGAAAAGTACGTTGCTGTGCATTTTGATTCCTGCAAGTCATTCAAACATCAGCCATAGAAAAGGTGCTATAGTACCCAGTAGCTTTAACAAGTAAATAAACTTTAGGTTGTCATATGACAATGATTGATTCATTCGTTCACATCGTGTCCAATCAATGGGGAATACTCTTCCCGTCGACGATACTGCGTGACAAAAAAGAAGATCACTACCAGTCCAATGAACCCCATGATAACACCAACACAGGTCCAGATTAATGTGTGCTCGCTCATGAACGAGGCCAAGATGTCGTGTTGCGCTACACTGGACGGACTCGGTACAGCAAGTAGATGCGCTGCACCACCGAAATCACAGGTCGCGCCTTCCTCGCGATGAGCATGCCAATACTCGTTAAAAGCCCAGTCACAACGCTCCTCAATCGTATTAAAACGTTCATTGATATCAGAACAGTCCACCTTTTTATCGTCGTCGCCGCATGCAAAATCCAAGCCAATCTCAAGGTCAAAGCGATTGGCGCCACGCTTGGCCGCACAAACGAACGCACCCTTATCTTCTACCAAACAGGCATTAAACACGTCGTCGTCAGTGTGGTAACTAGAAACGTTTCTTGGAAATACGCCCTTACGAACGAGGTCAAGAAAGTTCCATCGCGAACCAAATTCCGTCTTAAAGTTCCAAAAGTACCAGCCGTGTCCCAACGCAAACGCGTTCAGCTTCTTCATATTCAAATTGCGCGTAAATTCAAGCTCATCTTCTTCACTCTGCTGGCCAAATGACGTGTTGCTTGTTACCGGGCACTTGCCAAAAGCGGGACCTGACTGACCCGTGCCGTACGGACCCTGGATTGGCTTATTAACGTCCAGTGGAGTGCCCGGGAAACCCTTACCAAGATACGTGCTGTCCACGGGGCATTGGATCATACGGCACTCGGTGTTAGGATAACCTGGCAGGTTGTCGTTGAAACCGTTCAACCACATTGCGCAGTTGTCCGTGCCTAACGACCACTCGCCGACAATGACAGGCATCATGGCATTTTCCATCTCTGCAATCACGTACTTCTGTTGGCAAGCAGTTGTATAGTAATCTAAGCGCGCTCCTGGAGAGTTCCAAGCCTGGTAGATATGTGTGTCGAGAGCTATATCGGGACATCCGCGCATAAACTGAGACCAGTACTTCACGCCAAAGCGGAACGAATCGTGAAGTACAAACTTCCAATGTGGAGCGTGAGCTTTGACGCGCTTGTACGATTTCCAGTAGTATTCCTTCAGAAGGTCGATAGGCGTGAGTTCCCACGGCTCATTCACAGGCTCCAGTCCAATAATGGCGGGGTGATTGGCATAGCGATTAACAATGGCCGCGACAGTGTGAAGCGAGTGATTCAAATGCTCATAGTTAATCGACTTGTACGTGTTTGTGGTCAAATCAAATTCACCTGCCCATGCAGCTGAGCGCAGCGGCCAGTGTTCAAAAGTGGTGGTACGGATGGGACGCGTGCTGGCAGTTGACGTCCACTTGACAGACAATGATCTGCCACTGTTATCAAATCCATTTTGCGAGCCAATTAAGCCGTGGATATCTAGTAATAAGTCAATGTTGTACTTGAGCGCGAGGTTGGCAACACGATCAAGTTCATGAAGTGCGCCGTCCGTACAGCCTATGAATGGTTCATAGGGATTGAACATCCAGTCACCAATTGGCACACGAAGCGAGTTTACGCCGGCTTCAGCCATCTCTTTTAGGTCAGCCTCCGTCACCCAGGTGGCCCAGTGGATACGCAATTGACGATTGGCTTCTTCCTTACCGAGCGCCGTGCAGAAGGTATACATGTCCATTGCCGTCTTCTCAGGAGCCTTATTTCCAAAGCGCTCCTGGGTACTCAGGAACTGGTAAAAGAGACTAGGCGTGATCCATGGCTCCAGCACGAGCCAGCCGCCGAGATTGGCGCCACGTACCTGGCGATTAAAAGGTGTGGCGTGCCTATCACTGGAGCATGTCTTGCTCTCGTCGTTCAGCTTAAAGTTGTTGAAGAACTCGAGGTTTGCAGAGGTGAAGGCGTAATCGTTCTCCCAATACCACTTAGCATCCTTGACTACCGGTATGGTGTAGCTGTTGCCGCCAAAGGTCTTGTTGAGTGCGAGGTAATCAGAATCGACCACTGCCGCTACCAGCGATAGCGCAGAAATTGCCACTACAGTCAACGACAGTAAGTTTTTCATGGTGATATTGCTGCCGCGACAGACTACAACAAGGTATGGTATGCACTGCATGCGTCCAAATCGATAATGAACCAGAGAGCGCAGAATTCGCTTGCTTGTCGTACCAGCTGACATGGCATTGCTGGTGAACCATGACACAGCATATAGCTAGAAGAGACGAAAAAAGACAAGAAATCACTTCATAGGGAGAGAGATGCATAAGAACTTCAACCTAGACTACCTTCTTACCTGTACACCTATCAAGTTTTGTCCAATTTTCTCTAAGACGGTTTACTCACAATGAGCTTGACAAAAGCAAGTCTCTCTTGCATCGTTAACTGGCATGCAACGCCTTGGCGGTCAGTCGCTTTGCTACTGTGAGGTCTCTGCCGCTCTTTTGCCAACATAAATAACATTTACGCAGCTGACGTGGTAAAGCACATGTATCTTTTGTTGAATAATGACATTGCATAGCTTACACAGGTATGAGGATAAATTACTAACTTGTTGTTATTGTGCTTGCTATAGTACAAATAGGTGCTAGTTGGTAATGAAACTACGACATGCGCGACTTGAATCGATTGCTTTCAAATTATACGCTCCTCTTTGCAAAACGCGACCTTTGAGCTTCAAAACGGAAGATTTATCAAGACGACCATACATATCATCAACATGAACACCACTCGTAAATGTATTGATACGGAAACCTCTTTACACACCACATGTTGATAAAAATGATTTATTTTTGCATTGACCATCAGTAGTAATGAATAAGCATAAGATACGAAAAACTTCAGCAATCCATTATCTTCTTGTCGAAATAAATAGGACCTTTTTACCGTATGAGAAATTATTCCATGTCTGAATCTCATTATAATCATCAACGTTCGTTAGCGGAAACCAGAAAAAAATCATTGTGATTCGAATTTTCGACATGGTTTTCCCCTGACTATTGTAGCCCAATCATTTGCTTTCAACGATCTCTGCCAAGTATTTTGGACGAGACAGCAGCTGCGTAGATGTATGTGGTGGAGGATAATGTGGTATAGTTACTTGCCTCATATTGCAGCGCGCAAAAGCTGACACGGACTTGTCATGATTCGTTTAATCAACACCCATCACATGTTCGTGCTGGAAGCAAACAACACAAATGCACACATAGGGACAACACTAGCAGCTTTTCTGTGTGTAAGAAATTCAGCTCGAAAAACTGCCGATCAATTTGAGCAGGTCTGTATCGTCTGCCAAGAGCCAGTTGTCATGCATTGATTCCTGATCGTGCATGGGCACTGCACGAGGCAGCAAGCATCCAGCACGCAACGTCTTTGACGTTTTGCTGATACAGTAAATTCCTCTTCCAGTGCAGCGCCTTTCGTGTACAAAGTTCTTGGTGTTTATGTGTAATTGCGTGTGATAGAAACATCTGAGCTGCAGTGCACCAGTTGCCAACAACTTGTAGAGAATATCAAGTCATGCTGCCGATCGTCGTTTGCTTGTGGCGATGAAGTCCAGAACCGATAGCCGCAGATGAAGGTGGCTTTGACCACGAAGCCTGTCTATTACAAACTTGATTGCGTCCTTAGCCAGCTGAATGAAACGCATGATTGAATCATAAACGACAGCAGCGCATCGATGCGCTTGTAGCTTGTGCAATCAGTCAGCAATCAAACCGTGTTTAATACGTTATGTAAATGACTAGGCAACTGCGCGGTGACGTTTTCAATCTCTACCATTGTCGCTCGGCCGACACTCATTCTATACCGAAAAAAGTATCCTTACAGTTCTTGCTTGCATGTGCATTGACACATTGACCTGTTACTATAAATGTATGCTTTTGCACATCATGATAGCTGGTTGAAATCAAACTTTGACATTCCTTCTTGTTTACAAGATAACTTGATAATTGTTTGGACTGGGTAAGTTTTACATTACAATATGAAAATGCTCGACAAGCAAATAATATCACTTTCATTATTGTTGTACTGTAGCCATTTCTGACATAGCCAATCATTTTTTCGCCTACCATGTCATTATCATATCACTGTCTTCGCTTTGTTAATGTGTCCGAGTGGAATCCAATCTCGCCAGAATGGCAACGTCTAGTATCACAGCTTCCTGCAAATGAAAAAAATCAAGTGATGCGCTATATGTTTACAAAGGACCAGAACTTGGCACTCGCTAGTCGCTTGCTGCAACGTCAACTCATTCATGAACTCTTTCATGTACAGTACGACGCCATTGAGATTAAACGCACTCCTGAGGTACGTCATAATGAATAGTATTGGTAGTTCGACACATGCAAATTAATACTTGTGTCGTGATGATTATTTGATAGAATAAACCATATTGGAGACGACCAAACGCTCTTCTTGCTTCTCCACAGTGGAATTACAACGTCTCGCATCATGGTACAATCGTGGCAATTGTTAGTAATTCTCGTACTTTGGTTGGCGTAGACGTTGTCCGACTTACGGATCGACCACATGATAAGACATCGGCTGCTGAATTTTTTCGAGCTTTTGCAGGCCACTTTAATCCGAGCGAGTGGGATTACATTCGCGGTGTAGCTTCAGTCGAGGATGAAGATAGCCAATACACCCGATTCTACCAACTATGGTCGCTTAAGGAGGCGTATATTAAGGCAGTAGGCGTTGGAATGGGCTTTGCATTGTTACGAGCCGAGTTTGTTCGTGGAAATGCGGCCCGTTGGGAGCTCATTTTAGACGGTCAACGTGCTAGACATTGGCATTTCACATGCACACAGCTTGATTCGATGCATCTCGTTAGTGTTGCATACGGACCTTATTCGGCCATGTGGATGCCCAAGACTAGCTCCTTATTTTCAGAAGGTGAGCCGTATTCTATCGTGCATGCTGCCGACATTGAAGAATCCGAAGCACTTGAAGGATGGCAACAATGGAGACTGCAAGATCTGCTTCAATCATCCTAATGCGTCACACAGCGTGCCGTATGTAAAAAGCTAAGAAAAGGTAGGCAAAATCTCGCAAAGTCTTCGTGCTGATTTGAAATCAAATGAGACTTCCGTATTGTCGAGAATGCGTGTCCCACGACAGCAATATTGGCGTGAATGTAATACAACATCATTTTGCAACCCTGATCTACGAAGCCGAAAACAACATCTTGCGCACCGTTGGCTTTAGATCGTAGTAAATCTGGTCCAGGCGCGTGTCCAGCGTGTTGTCACACACAATTTTGCCCTGTTTGGCATACAGCACCACGCCACCGGCCTTGGCGGCCGACAACATGCCATCAGCGACCTTGTTAAGTGTCACCTTGACCTTGCTCACATCCAAGTTGGCCTCCTCCTTCATGATAGCAATGTACTTCTCCGTGGCCTCGTTTACCACCATTTCTGCGAGATGCATATCCTCGGCACGAACCGCGACTACGACATCTGTCTCAAACAGCTTGATCAGGCCCTGCACGATAAGATCACGCAACAGCACCTTGTTCTTGTCATCAGAGGTCGTGTACTTCTTCAACTGGACTTGACCCTCGACAATCAACGTCTTTAGCAACTCATCACGAGCAATCATTTTCTTTCGTCGAGAGGCACCAATCTCGGCTGAACGAGCACTGCAAAACAATAAAGAATCGTCATCATTCAGTTTTCAAACATCTCTCATAAACAAGCACCAGTTTACTCACATGCGCTTGTTTATCTCACGCTCCTTTTCCTTGCGTTTGTATTCCTCCTGAATCTTAATTTTAGCGTTATGTACGAGCATTTGCTTTTCCAGGTTAAAGTCATGCTCTGTCTACGAAACAATCACGACGGAAGTACCATACACGCACCCACAAATTCCATCGTCAGCACTTGTGCCTTCCCTGTTCATCTGCTTCTTTATTATCCACAGCTCTATATCCTCTAATAATAATAAAACGCCTTCACCGTTCAGAGACGATCGTTCCACTTATTTTGCAAGAACTTCTTTACCTTAATGCGTATCTCATTTGCCTTTTCTTGTGCTTCCTGGAGAATAAAATTCACCATCTGTTTAATCTGACGGTCAGCATCGGACGCATTCATGTTGCTACGTCGTTCTTGGCTTTAAACACTCGATACGGACACAACAACAACAACAACAAGGTAAACAAAGCCCGAGTTGTTGCTTGGTAATTTAGATTAGTTAGCTGTATTATAATATATATAAAACGACCTTCCCACGCGATCTTACAATTGTTATCTTTCGTACCTAATCGAATAAACCCACTTCCTTACAAGCTGGGAATACATTTCATTCAAATAAAAAATCATTTTTTTCTTATTTAATAAAAAAAGAATGAAGGTCAACATGGTTCGAGCACATGCTGTCGCGCACTATTGCTCCAGGTTTCAACCGCTCCGCTTTCTGTCCTTCACGAAAACAGACATTGATAACAATGCATTTGTGCGCAGTATCACAAAGGAACAAGCAAAGAAGGCCTTGGCTCGTAATGCGGCGATCCGCGCTGACCATGTCACGATTCAAAGCAATTTTCCAGTGTCCAGTCAAGGTGAGGACGAGATTGATGCGGATAAAGCTAATCGGAAGCGTATTATCTATCGCAGTAAGCAACGTGGCTGGCTAGAGGTGGATCTCTTACTTGGTCGCTGGGCTAGTCAAAACGTCATGCAGCTTTCAAGTGACGAGCTTCAACAGTATGAGGACATTTTAAACGAAGAGACTATTGACATTTTCAACTACATTTCTGGCAAGAATGTTGTGCCTGAGAGACTTGATACGTCGATGATGAAGAGACTGCAGGCGTATTGTCTTACGTCGCCATTGGGTAAAGCGTCGATCGAAGGATTTGCCGAGAACAAGAAGTTTATGAGCAATTAACAACATAAAGAAAAATTCATGGAAGACGAGACTTTTTATGGTGATTGGTGCTGTTGTTTTCTCTTGTTACAAGGTATTGCGATGGTTTGTTGCTGCTTTTTGCGTGGGTTGTGGTATGTGTTTTTGGCTTTTTAATGTTGAATCATGACTGTTGGCATCGATAATAGGAAATATTGTAGAATGCCATTGAGAGGCAGACTACTAGTTGTCGTGATTCAAGTGGCAGCAGTAAACGACTCTCTTGAAAACGCACAATTAGGCGAAGTGTAAGATGGAACGGAACTGGTAGCTTCATGTCGTGATATAGCACATTTTGACTGTTGGTCGCAGGAATGATAAAGCCAAAGCCGATCAATGTGTACTCGCTCCCGTTGTACAAATCTCCACGCATCGTAGCGTGCACTACCTCCTGGTATAATGGGTTTGCAGCTCGAGTCTGCACGTAGGAGACAACAGATTGATCGAGATAGTTCATTTGACTCTCTATTGAGCTCACCAGTGTGACCAGCTCACTTTCTTCGAATTTGTCTAGCATCGGAATGCTGCGATTGAGTTCCATGGAAGTTGTTGTGTCGTGGATTGTCTCTGCATAGTATGACACCACCTCGTCTAGGATTGGCACCCGTTCATTCATATGCTTTTCGAAAACATGTAGCGGAGTTGCATCACCTCTCTCTCCACTGATTGACATATTAACTGTACCTAGCACTGCATCAGCAAACTCATCTACGTCAAGGTCGTGATTAGAGTACCAGACTGTAGATGGTGCTCGCAGACCGTGCTTAAGCGCTCTCTGCTCAGCTTTAAAAGCCACTTGAACCATCTCCAGCAGCGACTTCAGCCGCATTGATCGTTTTGCTGTTGAGGTCACGCTCATATTAGCAAATGCTTGGAACAGCTCCAATGTTGTCAAGGACGGCGTATACACTGTTACGCCAGAGTGTACCAAACACACTTGCGTTACTGTACAGTCAGCATTATTCTCATCTTCAAAGCCTTTGATCATCCACTTGTCAATAGAAGGGAACGCGTAAAAGTGAATGAGTGCACCGTATACTCCGCTTCTTGACGAAAAATCTGTCATATTGCCGCTGTTAACACCATCGCCATTGGTTGCAATTTCACATGACAACGATCGTAGTATATCAGCTGTAGCTGAGTCAGTGGAGCTGCTATTCACAGCAATGTCTTCATATGCTGAAGAGTAATTGGTACCTGCATTGCTTGTCACTGACGTTTGAAGAAATTTTGCTAACGATAGGAAAACCGAATTCGAAACATTGGGATGAATTGGAAGTCGGGGAATACCAGTGTTGAAGTAAAATTCCTCCAGTCGGACTTGGAACTGCTCAAGTGCTTGAATATCTTCCGCACTCATTGTAATATTACCTCCATGATGAGTCGCTTCGTTCAATACACTTCTGTCCGGTAGCACCGATAAATTGGACGCGAGGGAGGGCGATTCATCAGCTAAAGTCGCGAGCTTGCGAGAAAATCCATCGTTTACAGCGCAATTCGATGAACAAGAGCCACGATCTGCATCATCAGTGCTGCCACTTGAACTGGCAGCAAGCCCAGCTATTCTAATATTCGCCAGAGTAAGCGATCGCAATAGCTGTGACACTATCGTTCGTGTCATATTAAGCCGCGAAGACCAAAGCCACGGATAGCTGTCTGCCGGGAATGTGGGTGGCGGCAAAGCATTGTCGCGGGTGTAGAATTGGTCCGAGTAGCCCTCGTATGAAGCAAAAGCTGCGGAGTATCGTCGGTATAGTTGAGCTCGTTTCTTGTCTCCATCATAAGTGAATGCTTGAGTTGTGTTTGGTCGAGACTCTTCATCTTTTGTCGCTTCGATCGCATCAAGCGAAAGTGTGAGATTGAATTCTCGGATCAATTCACTGGCATTCATGATTTTCAAACGCTGTGCAAACACCTCGTCTTCAAAATAGTCAACGTAATGACTTTGAATGAGATTCCAAGCTACATGACCAAGCGTTTTCAAGGCTGGAAGTGCCAAGTTATCCGTTAAAAACATGCGGGCCGCTTTGTTGCGGCGTCGACGCACGTTGCTAGACCGCAGCGAGTCCCCGTAGTCCATCGGGGACACGAGATTGTACATCAGCAGCCGAGGTAAATCTTTTCGTAGCGTGCGTTGGCCCTCACTTGAGAAAACCCACTTGGAAATCCATGGCGAGTTTGTTGGAATGGCATCACGTGCGCTACTATAGGTCGAGTCATTATATGGTACAACTTTACCATCAGAAAGACGTTTCCAGTAAGGCTGATACACGTACGGATAGTCTTCACTCCAAAACTCACTAATATTTAAAGGTGTACCATTGGACACAAAAGTCTTATAGCTTGCAACCGGCAAGATAGAAATTACCACCACTGTGATGATGAATACTCGAATCATTTTGATGCAGTCTCTGAACGAAATAAGCTTCTTCATTTGCAAATACGCTTCTCACCAGCAATCTTGTCAAAACATCCTGCCTTTCTCGCTGAAAACAAAAGACTGAAGAAATGTCTTTGCGCTTGACAATTATGTGAGAAACTGCATGCTGTACCAGTCCAACCTGCATATACTTGTAACAACTTGTTGCATAACTTTGCATGAGGTGGTGGCCAACTCAGTTTGCATACATATACATGGATGATAGGAACAGTGTATTCGGAAGCGCATGACTCACCTAAACCGATAGTTCCAACACTGTTCAAAGATACATGGACGTCAGTAATTTGATCAAAATCAAGCACGTAGCACATCAGCCGAGCCGTGTACATCTGCAGTTGTGTAGGACGTGACCATGTCTTCAGTATCTTTATCTTCCTCATAACCAAGAAAATCACAAAGGCCAACGGAGCTGGTACAGCTTGATGAAAGCTGCGGGATAAACGGCACAAACAATTAGAGAAAATAGGTCGAGCACGAATGTACACTGTCGATATGAACGTACTGAGCTCGTGATACGCCGGCGACAAGCAATCACCGTAGTTGCTGTCGAAAGAATGCTTTCATCTGACCTGCAAAGCTCATTTTCCTTGGCAGCAGTACAACTTCTGTCCTCCCATTTGCTTATTGTGCTTGGACTTAGTACAAGATCGGTGGTATTATGATGTCCATCCCGACCATGGTATTTGCGTTCATTGGGTCTTTCTTCAATGCTGTTGGATGATGCTCGGGAAGTTTGTGTGGGCACTGGAAGTCGTGGACTTGGTTTTACAATATGCTCTTCCTGGCTACGTCCAAGTGAAAGTGTGTGTGAGGGCACTAAATCCGTGGCGGGATATAGTACGAACTCATTTGGACCAGTGTCAAGCGACCATTTTTCACTTCCGGTAGGAGGCTGGAGAGGACGCAACGTAGAAAATTGCAACTCCTTGTCGTCAAAGGTGACCGACATCAAGTTTTGTCTCATCCATTCCTCTTGCTGCTGCTTGAGAAGTTGTTCCTCATCAAATTTGTGCTGCAAAATAGTCTGCAGCAATTTCTGCTGCTTTATAAGGTCTCGCTGTGCCACGGGCGACGCAGGTGGCTGAAATTCCAGTGCTTTTGGATCTATTCGGAATACATTAGCACCTACAGGCGCTGCTGCAGCCATCTTCTTGGACACTTGAATGCGAAGATCGTCACGCCGTGAGCTCAGTCGGACACCTGCACTTATCGAGGGTGGCGGTACTTCTGGTAACAATCCAGAAGCAGGAACTGTTTCACTACTTGGCAATTGATAGGAGAGGTTGTAGCGCTGCCTTGCCGCTAAAGACGACGGCGATACAGCAGGCGAGTCCGAATATTCTAATGGTGGTGGGAGATCACACTTTCGTGAATCTTTTACCTCCGGATGCTTACGTATTGATATGAATGGCATGTTTAAACCCTGAACACATCGTGCATAAGGACGATGAAAGGAGTGTGTATGTCCGTGCTGCTCTGAAAGAGGCGACGGCAAAGTTCTTGCTGTCATTGCCGTTGTTGTATCACTGGGATTTCGTTTCCTACGCCACTGCGTTCCAGAAATAGGCAATGCCGTATATTCCGGAGGCGTCTTCATCGATTCAACTGCAGCATATCCAAGTCCCGACGTTTCAATACGAGGCAATCGCTCCTTAGCTTGCTGCAATTTGGACATGGTACCCACTGACCCGCTCGTAACCGACGCTCTACGTTGATCCATTCGAGAAACATTTCGTACACTCATCCTTGATTCATGATTAATACGAATTGGTGACTCTACTTTCTTCTCTTCCAAGTTCTTTTTCTTTTCCTGAACTACTTCCGTCACTTCCCTATCAAAATTCAATTCAATTTCCATTCGACCTAGTTTCAATCTATCACCATGATGTACTACCACTGCATCATTATGTACACGATGATTCTCATTCAGCATCGATCCATCACGACTATGATCACTATAGACCCAAATTCCTAGTCCTAGCGTTCGTTCCAATGTCCCATGAGCTGCATCCACGTCCAAATCCTCGAAAAGCTTAAAATTTGCTTCTAAACCTTTGCCCAACACGATCGTATGGGTTGCAACAATTGATGTCACTTGATTGTCAACCTCATTATCGTCTTCCGATAAAACTTGATACACTCGTAGTACCATCGACGATGATGATGGAGTCGCACTTGGCATCGCGTGGAGTAGCAATTAATCCAACACAATAAATGGATCTTCTTGAAGATGACTTTCTCGAAATCAACGTTGAATTTGGTTGGAATACGTAACGAAATGATTGGGACAAAACAGGTGCAATTATTAAAATACACAACGTCTGACACATCATGCATATGTTTGAATAGCCAGCCATTTTTAATGAGTCGATGATGATGATAATGATAATGATAAGAAAATATTTGTATGCAATGATTCGGAAGCAAGATACACTCACTCCGTAAGAGAGAGCCAAGGGTCTTTCAATAAAGTAGTTTTGTCATTTAGTGACGAAAGAAATGCCTCGGGTTGGTTGTTACTATCCTAAGACGTTATGTTACCAGTCATAAAAGTCTAGCTTAGCTTAGCTTGCTGTCTTGTGTTGTCAGGAATCGCTTCCTGATTCCTGCTCGTAAAATTCTTGATGCTATATCTAGCAGACAATTCTTGTGTCATAATGCCATTTGTCCATTGCCCACGCAACCTTCAGTTTTTACCATATTCGGTGAATAAAAGTCTCACATTAATGGTTTCGATTGAAACCTTGCTAGAAATAGTCTCTTACTACGACATGATTCGCAATATGGACAGCTAATTTTGTTGTGTAGGTCTTCTTCGTAGTTGACAAATACCGGCTTACAACTCTTTCCCTGCCCTGTCTTTAAGCCTTTTCTGTTGAAAGTGACCTAGAACCAGACCACAATGGAGCAGACGATGCACATCATGTGGAATGCATGGCAAGCAGAAAGTTCCGAAAACCCACGCTAGCATGATTCTTGGGGAAAGAAACTTTGTCACCTGGTTACAGGAGAGAAATGATTACGATGATGTGTGTGGAGCCATCTGGCTTTAGGCATCGGGCATGTGCGCTATACAACGTGTGTTCAGGGGCTTCATGATAAATTTCAGACCAGCGATTACGCTTCGAGCACCAGAGTGATACAGGATATGCCAGTTTCTGAGATGTCTCTGGGAATCCAGCACATAGATGTCGTGCAGGAAGGCAACTCGGATGGGAAGCTCAGTCTATCACACATCAGGGCGCATTTTTGATCAAATACGATCGTTCCCAGCTGGTCAACCCACAATTCAGCGTTGCTTCCTGATCGTGCTCCAATCTTTTTCAGTTTCATTACAGGACAACCGCTCTCACTTCACTGAGTGGTGCTCGCAAGGGATTTAATTTAAGCGTAAAGCTCAAGTAGAGTAGAGTCGATCGTTCAGGGGCACGCAAGGTCACGCAGGGCCACGCTTCAGCGTCAGAGCAAAAGTTTACAAATGGCAGATTCGAGCAGATGGAGAAATTGTATGCTTGCGTTTCTAGTGGCAATACAGGTGGCAATAAGTTTGACCTCAGCTGTGTGGATGGCATCGGACAATGAAACCATGTCATCTAGAACCTCTGACAGCATGTCTAACAAGCTGAGAAGTTTAGTAGGACTTAAGAAAGAGCGTCAAAAATGTCTTAAAGCTCCGCCAACACTGATCACATTCAGACAAAGCGCGTCATCGAGTAGTGCAGCCTATGTCATCTACACGGACTGCTCCATTTCGACCATCCTTGCCGACACTCAGAGCGACGGCACAAAGATGATGGATGCCTCGAAACGGAAAATCCAGATCGTTGATAGCTTCCCCGAGGTCGACTTTTTGTAAGCATGGCCAGTGTCTGATTTTTTAAATGGTGTATTGAGAATCATGAGAATAATATGCTGTGCTTACGAACAGGGACTTATCAGACAACGAGATCGTTGCTATTCAGGAAACCGACGACACCTTTGTCTCGATCCTGTGCGTAATTGAATTATGATGAGAATCTCTACCTGTCCTGATAGTTTTGTGTGTTTGAGTAGGGATATTTCTGCCAATGGGATCACAGACCTGATCAACATCTCGATACCCAGCAGTGTCGCTGTTCTGTAAGGCTGCATCTGTAACTACTGCGTGTAATTGCCTTAGGGCTAATGTGTTTTGGCTTGCTGTTAAACAGGAGTTTGGACAACAACAAGATTTCAGCTTTGTCAAATGGCGACCTCGCTGACACCGTGACGTCGGTCTCCATCAAAAACAACAGCATCACATCGTTGCAGAGCTTTGTCGTGGGCAGAACGACGCAACACATCGACCTAAGCGGCAATTCGATACCAGCCCTTGTCAGTTGGCAGATGCCCGACACCTTAGAGTCGTTCAGGTGCCAGGACTGCGGGATTAGGAAAATTGCAGGCGTGGTCTTTCCGGCAGCCATGTCCCTCTCGACTTTTGATCTCATGGGCTGCAACGTGGAGACGTTCGAGGTTGCCAATTCTAGTGTACGTGTACTCGAGGCTGTGGACGATCTCGTGGTTACAACAGTTGGATCCAACTGCAGTGACAGTCATGCTAGGGCTCGAGTTGCTCGAACGATGCACCTTTGTGTGCTCCTGGACAGCTATTTTAACGCCAGGTACATGATGGGAGGCCCAGATTTTTCTAGTACCCACAGCCAAGACATCCCTGCTGTTGGCGTAGCAAACGACGAGAATGGTGGCCTTAGGAATTGGATGACTCTGGCAATGATCTGTTTCGGAGCGATGATGGCCTCCACACTTGGCGGTACTGTTTTCATCGTCTTTCGCCGCCGACAAAAAAGCTCGAGATGAAGCGATCAAAGAAGCTGAAAACTTAGAGCTTAACCCGAATGCTTCGTCATCGTGCAAGGTGACTAAGTATATGCCAGGTCAAGTGACGAGCATATCACGAACTGATCGAACAGACTCGGTACTAGGAGGAGTGCTTAAAGATTCAGCGTTAAATATTGTAGTGAACGATATTCGGACGAATGATGATATTCTGCATTGCAGATTACAACAGGAAGATGTTATGCGTGGGCAGTTGATTGCTAAGGGCGGTTACGGCGCCGTTTATCTGGCCACATTTCAAAATAAGAAGGTGGTGACCAAGCAACTACTGCCGGAACGGGCTCGTAACAAGCGCTGGCTGAATAGCTTTATGGATGAGATCCGTCTCTGTTCGACGTTAGATCACCCCAAGATTGTGCACTTCATTGGCGTGACTTGGAGCTCTTTGCTTGATATTAGCATGGTAATGGAGTATATGCCCAATGGGGATCTGAGTGCTATGATGCAGGCGCAATTGCAATGCGAGACTCGCGACAAGTCTGCTCGTGACAGCTACAGTTGGTTCCATTCGGTTGGAGAAGGTGGACACTTGAAGTGCAAGTCGCTAATTGCACTTGACATCGTAGAGGCGCTGGTTTACTTGCACTCGTTCGAAAGTCCTATCATTCACCGCGACTTGAAGCCGAAGAATGTGCTGCTTAGCGACTCGTGGGAAGCGAAATTGACGGACTTTGGAACAAGCCGTGAACTAAATAAAGACCAGACGATGACTGCTGAGATTGGCACGGTGTCCTGGATAGCTCCAGAGGTACTGCGAGGCGAGCATTACTCTGAAAAGGCCGATGTGTATTCTCTCGGCGTGATTTTGACGGAGCTGGACACATGTCGCCGTCCATATTCGCAGGGAATTTCATGTCAAAGTAAAAATGACGGCAACAATCAGGCGTCAAACACTCGTATCGCTGTGTTGGTCAGTGCTGGTTCTCTTAGACCCGAGGTGCACAAGGATTGCCCACGCAGTGTCCGTAACTTGGTCAATAAATGCTTGGCGTTTAACCCAGAGGATCGTCCGTCAGCGTTGCAAATTCACTACGAACTACGCAACTTGGAAGCCAAAGAGGAGGAGTTATTGACTTCAGCGAGACGCGTGACGCGGACGCAGTCCAAGGCTAACAACGGATGAATCAATCTGGCCGTTCATTTGACAATTTAACGGAGAACTCAAGGCGGAGGTCATTGTGTTGTGTACTTGACAAAACGAACACTCGGAAAAAATAGGCAGCAGACTCGACGGTAGTGTCTATAGTCGATGTGTATTGAGGTTATTTAATTAGGTAAGCCCTTGGCTTTTTCATCTTCTTTAAAGAAGTTTGTATGCCGAATCTGCATTGAAGCGCTGCCATGGCGCTTTGATTATGAAAAGTATCAAACGTCTTAGACTTATCCCCTACAATTGACTGTGATTATAAGTGTCGGTCATTTAGTCTTGACACACAAGTTCTGTGAAAATGTACTAGCTTGATCGCCCTTTTTAACCTTATGCGCCAAGCCCAACTCGACGTGCAATGGTTACAAGGTATACAGAAAAAACATTATTGAGTGTAATGTGAGGTATTGCAATCAAGGGCCAGCATTCTAGCGAGACGGTTGATCATGTAGTATCTCAAATATTTGCCGGAGATTGATTGGAAATTATCGTGGTACATTTATCATAATCTGGCTCAAACGTGGCCTCATGCCACGATGCTAGAAAGCTTGTCGAATTTGTATCCAACTGTACGCACTGTGCTATGCACTGTACGCACAAGGCTAACCAGGCTATCCAGACATCGTAAAAGCTTGGTCTTAGCACGTTAGGATTTTCCAAACAGAAACAACTGCTAGTCTGCTGGCCGATGACTGGGCAGGCAGCTAATATCGTTCGACTCAGCGTCTATAGTAACGTCGTGCTGCATTACCCAGAAAAAACGTTTATCGCATGAAAAAAAGCTTGCCCTCCTGAGTGGGTAATGTGTTCATGTTCTTGTTGGTATACGAATTGAAGCAATACTGTTTCATTTTCTGCAGAACACGGTGGACGAGTACGAGCACCAAAGATGGACCCACAGGATTGGTCCTTTTTTAACTGCAATCAATCATAGGTTTTAGCTAGGCGTCGATCAGCCGGGCTCGCAGACGCTGTCATACTGTTGCGCTACATATTCTTCAACAAGGATAGGGACATCATGCGATATGCTTGCTAACTGTTCCTGTAACAGGGTTACACAATTCACATATAACCTTTTCCTCCAGATCAAAGGACAATGATTCTTCTGACGCATTAGATGAACCAACCCTTGCAGCATTGCCTGTATCGCGTTCGTTGTCAAGACGTAGGCCTCGATCTGACTCCGTTATTGAACCTGAACCTGGATCGTCCACTTCGATCGTGTTGGACTCCGACAGCCTTCTACGTCCCCACATCCGTCGTCGCGGATCGCTTGTCCGAAGGTATCCAGGGTCGATCTCTTCGGAGAGACTTCCAGTGACTCGGATGGCCCTGTCAGCGTCTCCAGCGACACACACGAGATCGTAAACGATGTTTTTCCCCTAATTGCTACTGCCAGGTTCCTCCGAACAAAGTACCTCGCGGTCGGTGGATCGCTGGGTACCGCGATCGAGTCCCGCTATCCTCTGCCGATGTGGTTCCGGGGTCAGCTCGACGTGTTAGGTTGGTCAGCGTTGCTGAGCTGAATTTGATCTCTTCAATCTCCACTTCTCGAACCATCTCCATTTCTCACCCCACGGACATGTTTTCCTGACCCAAGTTGGTGTACTATCGGTCGCCACCTGATTCCGAGTAGGCGCCACACCTGCTGACTTGGACCAAGATCTCCGCGATGTATAACTATGAAGCGTGGAAAGTCATCGACAAACCGATGACGCCGTTCTCGTTTCGTAAGTTTGGGTGGTTGAAGGAGCTGGGCACTCTGTGAGATGCGTTCCTTCATCATCAACTGCAAGCATTGTGGGAATCCACTCATTTATTACCGATCTCTACTGAACAGCGGCGGCTCGATCCAAATCTGGCACAATCTGCAACGAGATAAAACAACGCCGATTACGATCGGTATCCCTTTAGAAGAGTATACTTCACTTCATCTTTCAAGGGATAATCGCGGGCCCCTGTGACCTGGATATTGTGCGAGATCCATTCGTCTTGCAATTCACTCCGCAGGCCAAGAAGAAGTTGAGGCATCCCAGGTTTGGATGTAAACCGACCAACGGCTCCAGATTGATCACTGTGTTATATATGGCGGATAATTTGGATCCGTGACGAACTCAATACCGATTCACGATCGCAGCCAACCTGGCTTGGCAGATCCGCAATTAGTTGACAAATTATTGTAGCGGTAGTTTAAAACTGCGTTACTCGATCAAGGAAGTTTTTGATACAGATCTACACCTGCTTAATTGAATTCGACGATCGAGTCGATCACAAAAGCTATTGGTGCAGATCGAGCATCTGATCAATCCGATTCAACGATACAGTCGAATATGGAAGTTTTTGGTACAGACTGAGCATTTGTTCAATCCGATTTGACAATCCAGTCGATCACGAAAGGTTGTGATGCAGATTGACCCCTGATCAGCCCGATTCGGCAATACAGTCGACCACTGAAGTTGTTGGTGCAGATCGAGCCTTTGTTCGATCAGATTTGACGTTTGGTCGAGGATCTAATATGATGATATATTGATCTCCGCCACGACTTAAACTTCTCTTTACAAAAAAGGGAGAAATTATTGGAACCGTGTGATCAGTGAATTTGTCGATCAGCCTAGCCAAAAGTTTCTGGGGGCGTCAAAAGGTAGAATACCCTGGCCATCAAGTGTCACTTGTCTGTTTGGAAGCTCACCCAAAGTATTTCGTATCGCTTGTAAATATCCCATTTCCTAAGCGTTGCGTCGATGCAATCGTTTCTGGGTAGTTTTTGAATTACTACAGTTGCTTTGTTGTGGACTTTGCGGTCTATGCTGAGTCCTTTGAAGTGAGGAGGCAAATTTCCATGAAATCAGTCGCACTGATCGAGTAAATTCAGTGGTACAATGTACTGGGGGCGATCGCAATTCGGAGCCAAATGGGCACATCCGCAATCCGGACCCAAGACAGGGGACATTCGTGATCTAGAAAGCAAAAATCGTTGGGAGAAGGCCACAATCGCGTTAACTATGTTGAAGGCTAAGATTGCTAGCACCCTAATCCGCACTCATTTTGATTCAAATCAAACTCCAGTGATCGTGGTACATGTCAGTTGATGAGCGATATCAGCATCCCTACTTCAGGAACATGAAGGCGTGTATTGGCCAGTACTTTTCACTAGCCGTACGCTAACACCAATGAAGGTAACTATGGGATGGTGAAGAGAGAAGAATTGGCTCTTATTCGTATGTTAGATATTGGATATACTATGTTAGTATCATGAGCGATGAAGGTGTTTACGCAATATTCTACGTTAGTATGGCTGGTGCAATCCTCTGAACTCATGGTATACTAGGAAGATAAACTGCGCTACTATCGGACTGGACATTAGAGGTCAGCAGATGTGTGAAAGGGAAAGATGAGATACTGGGTGTTTTGGCGGGTAACCTCTGCGGCAAGTATAACCCCTCTAGAAGAAGTGGATCAAGTGCGGATCGTAAACGCCCCACAGAAGCAGCCGAGGCATACCATCAGCATGCCTCACCTACAGTACAGAAAGTTAAAAGCTTACTGGTGGCCAGTTGTGATGGATCAGCGCTGATCAAGCAAAACGGTAAATCTTACAGTGCAATCGTGTGGAAACTGCCAGAGTGAAAGATTATAGCGGCAGCCTCGAAGTATACAGGAAATTTGACTGTAAATGAGGCTGCATGCCGGGGTCTGCTGTAAGCCTTCGATCTTCTTACAGATCTGATTATCTGTGGGGATTCAAATTTGGTAATCCGGCAGATGCGTGGAGGGATTAATTGCAGGGTACCTGGTAACAGCTGTTACGTCAATAGGCTATGAAAAGACTTTGATCGTGGCCGATCTACGTGTTTTTACATATAAATCAAGATTGGAACTAAAGTGCTGATCGGCTAGCGAGCGAATCTTTACATCGACAAACAGACGCTACTATCTTTTTGGATCAAGAAATTCAAGATCTGTTGACCCTCAATAGATTGGACGAGCTTCTGATAGCAAAAGCAGCCGATCGAGGGTCAAGATGGCCGTGATCACCCGATTGGCTATAAGAAGACGTCTTCAACCTGAAGCCCTGCGAGAAGAGATCTTGCAACAACGTTAAGTCGAAAGAATGAAACAAGCGCAAGATGAAGAGAGATAGATCGCTGAACTAAAGACATATCGGATTGGGGACGTGGCGACGCAAGATGCCGAGTCAGCAAAATCAAGTGTTCTGATAGCACCTGAGTACTAAGTGGATGGAAGTGGATGATTGTTGTTTTTTTGCCCTCGATAGGCTGCCAACTCGGAGTATCGAGTGGAAATGGTTTGCTTGGTGGTGTTACGACTATTGTATCAAGATTTTTTACACCATTACCACTCTAGTTTGGAAGGTGGTCACAAAGGACTTGCAAGGACCTATCAAAGAACCCGATCTAACTTCCATTAACGAGGATTAGACCGAAGTGTGCAACGGTATGTGGGTGAATGCATGGATCGTGAATCTGGAAAAGGGTGTCCCGCGATCCGTGATGGATCCCGTAGGAATGTCCAAGCGACGTACCCATTTCAAATAATTGTTATGGTTCATATCCCGTCGTTACCACGATCGCACAAAGGGAATACAGTGTTATTGCTTTGGGTGGATCGGCTCTATAAGTATGTGATTGCGACAGCAAGTTCGTCTCGGACAGCACAAATATTTGCAGCAAATTACGAGAAATGTATTTTTTGGCGGTTTGGTGCCAGCGAGGCAATCCGTCACGATTCTGATCCGCGATTCATATTTCATTGTTTCAGAGCGTATAACCGGATCGCAGGACATTAACAGAGTGCAACAATGGCTTACTGGCCTCAAGCTATTGGAACTGCGGAACGTATGATCCAAAGTTCAAAATGCTCTGAGCTGTATGTAACGGATGTGGATCAGAAGGACTGGGACGAATATGCGGAACGATTGACATTTTCTCTTACACAGCGCAATATCGCGTCCATGG